GGCGGAGGGAGCGTTCGTCTCGGCGTCCAGGGAGCGGAGTCCCCTCCCGCGCGGCGGGAATGACGGGCGGGCCCGCCTTCTCCGCACCCCGGGGCCCAGCTTGTCTTCAGGATCCCTGCTCCCCCAGGGACTGCTCGGCAGACCCCTAGGACCAGACATGGGTGGCTCAGGGCAGTCAGGAGGAACACCCCCTCGTTGGCGTCTAACCGAGAAGGAGGACATCCCAGTTCCACCGCGAGGCCGTGACGGCGCAGTGGTCCTCAGCCCGATTTTTGGCGGCCGACCTGGGCTTGTACTCACTGTGTGACCTTGGACAAGTCACTGAATCTTCTGAGCCTCAGTTGCCTAATTAATTAGCTAAACGGGAGTGAGCTTGCCTGTTAGGACTGTCCTGGGGATGAAATGAGCTAATGCTTGTGGAGCACCATCTCTGGCATACAGCAGGCGTCCCATAAATGATAGCTGCTGTCAGTTCATTCACGGGCCCGTGGGGAGACCCCGAGTTCGGGTCTAGGATTTTTGTTGTTGTTTGTTTTGTTTTGTTATCACTGACGTGGCCTTCCAAGGTTACCAGGCTGGGAATAGCCGCCGCCCGCTTCTGTCCCCTGCAGGGAGGGGACACCGCTTCCTCCAGAGCCCCTCGCAGAGGCAGCTGCCGCCAGGGAAGCCCGATGTCAGCACCGCCGGGGTTATTTTCAGAGGTTGGGGAGGCCTCTGTCTGTCTCTGATCTTCTCTGGAATCTGGTTGGGGTGTGGGGACCCTCTGGTCTTTAACAGCCAGTGGAAGCTGTCTAGGATATGCCCCCAGAGCCTCGGGCTTGGAAACGAGTGCAAAGGAGTGGGGTGAGGAGGTGACAGGGTTGAACTGCTCTGGCCTCGCCGCTGCTGGGAGGCCGAGGGGCGTCCAAGCCCGCGGAAGCTAGACCAGGGATCCGTAAACCTGAGGACTGGGGCAGTGCTGGGACCAAAATAGCTCCCGCTGTGCAGGGAGGGGGCGCCTTCCTATGCAGCTTGGGGAATGTTTGCTTGAATGGGCCAGCTGAGGAAAAGCCAAGCCAATGCTTTGCTTCCCAGAATCATTTCAGTTCCATTCAGTGGGGTTTTAAACAGATTAAGTTTTCCTTTGTGATGTTTAAAAAATAATAATTAAAAAGCCGCCTCCTCCTATCTAGCTCTTCACTGGTTTGCTTTTCATAAGAGGTCCAGGTTGTGCCCCTTTTGAAAAGCAAATCAGTGAAGTGCTGACCAAGCCTTTTGGCTCTGAGCACCTGCCTGACTTTGTTAGGGATGTTCAGTGCCTATTTTTTTTTTTTTTCCGCCAGACTGGCACGTCTTGGCTTTCCAGTGCTTGGGTTGCCTGGAGAAATTAACAGCTTCTGTCACTGTGCTGTCTGGTCTGTAACCACACTGTTTTTGCAGTGAGCGTGTTTTCAGTTCTTGCAGAGTGTTGGAAATAAATTGCTGGTTCTATGCTCAGAAAAGACACCTGCTATGACCAGCTATAATGCAGCCTGTATTCTCAGAAAATGTAATCAGGACGGATGATGTCAGCTGCTTCACCACTGGCCAGTCTCTGGCCAGCCTCTTCCCTTGGCCCTTAAGCTTACATCATAGAGCTTCCAGCCCCATTCTGTGTGGGAAGATGAATTTTGCTACTACAGGAATTTTGAACTCAACTCTGCTCTCCCTGCCATAGGGTGTTCTAGCTTAGCTGAGCCCTTTCAAGTAGAGCTGTCCAGCAGACCCAGCTGACAGCTTTGCTTAAAAGCAGTGCAGCTGAGAGCTCGAGCCAGGATTTTGGCATTCGACGAAGGTTCAGATCTCAGATCCACTCCTTAGGTAGCCTTGTGACTTAGGATAAGTGACTTGGCTTCTCTGAGCCTCAGTTTCCTCTTTAACCTTGGGGCTGTCCTGTGGATTTCATTGAATTACATTGAGCTTCAGCAGAAGGCCCTTATATACTAATCACTTGGTGAATGGTATTAATTTTAACAATAAATAAGACAAATGGGAAAAAGCACAGGCGCCAGGATTGGCCAACTCAAATTCAAATTGCAGCTTTGATTTGAAGCTCTTTTGGGCAGATTATTTAGTGACTTGGTTTCCTCATAGCATTATTACATGGTTTAGACAGGATGATGGAGTTGAAGCAGAAAGCCCAATGCTTAGCACATAGGACCTCAATAATTGTTTGTTTCCTTCTCTCCTTTCCTTAATTATCTTTTTTTCTTTTTTTAAAAATATATTTTATTGATTTTTTACAGAGAGAAAGGGAGAGTGATAGAAAGTTAGAAACATTGATGAGAGAGAAACATCAATTTAGCTGCCTCCTGCACACTCCCTACTGGGGATGTGCCCGAAACCAAGGTACATGCCCTTGACCGGAATCGAACCTGGGACCCTTCAGTCCGCAGGCCGACGCTCTATCCACTGAGCCAAACCAGTTAGGGCTCCTTAATTATCTTTTAGCATTAATTTTCTTTCACCGTTTTTCTCACTACCTAGGTTGGTACAAAATTCTTCTTAGATGGGTTCTCATCCTTGACTTTAGGATTTTGAACACCAACTACGCTGTTTGGATCCCTTCTCCTTGCTTATTGTTTGCTAGCAACAAGCAAGGGTGTGGATGTGGTGTGATTACAGAGCAGCAGACGCAGAGCTTGAGGGTGGCTGACTTTGTAAAAAAAAATAAAAATAAGAGCCCTAGCTGGTTTGGCTCAGTGGATAGAGCGTCGGCCTGCAGACTGAAGGATCCCGGGTTCAATTCCGGTCAAGGAAATATGCCTGGGTTGTGGGCTCGATCTCCAGTGGGGGGCGTGCAGGAGGCAGCTGATCAATGATTCTCTCATCATTGATGTTTCTATCTCCCCTCTCCCTTCCTCTCTGAAATCAATAAAAATATT